TATTCGATTATACGTGTTGTTTATTCAGTGCTGATTCTTGCAGAGTACAGTGGATGAGTACTCACACCCCACTATTATCTTTTTAGGTGATGGAGTGCAGCCCGGAGCGTGAGCAGAGCATGGTGGTGTGGTGGTGTCCGAGTCAGATGGACATTTGTTTATGTTTATGTTATGTTGGCATGTATAAATAATTTTAGAGTGTACCGTACTTTATTTCACGCTTCCGCATTGCCAACCCAGACTATTATGTATGCACGTTTTAATTTCCCTTATCCGTATTTTCTCCAGTCGGAACTTATATGTTGATTTGGGTATGTGCATAAGTAACAGAAAAAGAGAAGTAAGTCAGTTAGTAAGTAGCATCCCGCAAGTCAGTTAAGTTTAAACGTTTTTCGAAAACAATATATGTATATTTCGGAAACAACCACGAAAATTTTACCCAGTTTTTCATGAGTAAAAGTTATAGTAGGCGGGGTGTTACAATATCTGTTTCCCTTTCCCTCATCGCGATCGTATTTCATAACAGAGAGATCTCTTCTCCTTTCTCCTCGTGAAATCTGATCGAAGTCGACAGAGCAGAGAAAATATATTTTCCCGATCGTCTTGTTCCCTCGCAGATCAAACCTCACCTTCACCATATTCCGATCATCATTGCGCTCTGCGACTTCCCCTTCCCGTCACCATCTCCCCTCACCATCACGTTCAGTCCATCGTCGTCATCTCATCATCTCGCCACCATCATCGCCGGGGTGAAGCAATCAACTCCGGCAGATCCCTGTTTCGCGTTTTTCCGGCGAGTTCTAATCTTCCCCGCGAGCAGTCCACGGGCCGACGTCGAAACTCCCTCTGACGGTGAATCCTTCTGATGAACTGCTTCCCCCGCGCCACGACCAGACGCCGTGACCATCTCTTTCGACGAATTCAGCGGCCCTGACACCGAGCAGACGACCCCCACGACGTCACGACCACTTTTGACGACCTTCCGTTCACGAGCCGACCGCCAACAGCGACGACGAGGATCCCTGCAGCGATCTAGCATCCGCGAGAAGCCATCCTTGAGCCGCTGTCTTCTCCCTCGTGAGTCGCGTGTCCATTCGAACCGTTCGTTCCGTTTTCGATCGATTCTCGAGAACGGTACAAGGCTCGACCTGCCTCATTTAATTTTGTGTATCATTTATGTTGTGTTCTTGGTTGTTGAATGTGATTATTGAGTACATATGAATACGCCTATGTTAATTTTTGTGAGAATTTTAATATATATTTGCAAATTTGATATCAAAGTGATTGTCGTCACTTTGAATTATTGTCTGGCTGAATTTAACGTGGTATATTTCGTGGAAATCCTAGAGTTATAGGTACTTGGAGTTGTCCTTGATTTATTGGTTTTGGTTTGAGGTCGTTTTGAGTTGTATATAGGGAGTTATGATTTTTCTAAACCGAGCATGCTGCTGAACCATAATAAATTCACCATAAATCGAGTTGTTGTCCGTTTTGGCTAAATGTCTTATATGTTGAGCCTCTTAGTATGTGGAATGTGTGTGCCAAGCCCCTGATTTTGTCTTTGAGTCTTTGGTGTTCAAATGCTTAAATCGGTTTCTGGGTAGAAACTTGTGAAATTCGTTAAAAATCGTACACTTTGAGTTTTGAGCTGAAACTTGGAAGAACATGTTATTTTATGTTGTGTAAACATTTTAGATTGAAATTCGAAGTGTAGCTCTGCGAACCATTAAATGCCGATTTTGGCGCTGTGAGTTTATGTGTTTTTGTATGCTTTATAATGTGGTAAAGTTTCAGGTTTATTGGCTGAGCTTAACTTCTAATTCTTTGGTTTATTTTGGAGTCTTAATGCTTGGTTATCTGTTGTTTAGGTTAAGATTGGATTTTATCAATGTTGGCATGATTTATGTGTATTATCTGAGGTATTTGAGTTGTGTCCAGGTCTGGTAGTCACTCCATAGTACTTAACTCGGTCAAGGAATCCACGAGTCACTTAGTCTATATGATTTCGGCTAAGTATATGTGCCTTGTGTGTTGTTTTGTATTGGATAGTCAGTGATAGGGTATTTTAAAATTCAGTAGCTTCTTCGAGCTGAACTTGTGCCATAATTCCTTCAACTCTATGTTTGGCTATACCTCTTGCTATATCCAGGTGGGTTTTATTTGAAATTTCTATGCCTTAATTAATTTTTATTGTTGTGGTATGATCAATGTATGCATGTGAACCATGTAGCCTTCGATGGGAGCTATATTGGCCGTCGAAAGGTTATCCCCGTAGTTATAGAACGTACCCGATGGGTAGTCTCCTTATTTATGTATGGCAGTCAGGGCGTGAGCCTTGGCTGGTGATCCTCGATGTAAGTCCGAATACTAGGTTCCGGGCATTTCGGGGTGGATTTACTCCTACTGACTGGGCATCGATTGTAAGACCCGAGGGGCATTCGATACGTGTATCAGCAGTGGTCTATTGATATAGGTGTGCACATGAGGGATGACTCTGGGATAGGAGATGGGGTATTAATTGATTTGTGTTCATACTGCGACCATACGTGCCTTATTTTATGAATTTGAATATTAATTATTGCATAGCGGTGAGCACCTCGATTTTCCTATTGGCCTCATCCCCACCTGCTCTTCATGGATGCATGTTAGCAATTGCGGGCACGACGGAGGGATGCGAGTGGTGGTCATGTTACTGATTACTTCCGCTGTTTAAACTGCTTAGTATCATTTATGCATTTCTGATTTACGTTGGGTACTGGATTATTGATAGGGAGTGTACTCCCTAGTATTTATGAATTTGACAAACCCAGTTTTTGGAAGTTGATGTTATTTATGAACCCAGTTTGGGTGTTGACATGATTACTGAACCCGTTTGGGAATTGCATTTATGATATTGTTGAAATTGTTTTGGGAAATGAGTAGCGCCTCAAGTGTTTTGATAAACTGAATTTCGGCAAATAAAAGTGGGGCGTTACACAAGTGTTGGTGGATGGGTCGTCGGATGATACGTACGCTCTGTTCTGGCTGGCTTTTGCCAGTCTGTCCGGTGGGTGCCGGCCTCGAGCTATATTCGCGGCGATTCTGAACTTCATGATTGGGGGACTGAGCCGTGGTCTTGGATTTGGCCAGGTTTTTTCTTTGCCCCCCGACCCCCTTGTCGGGGGTCTGAAGCAAATTGTTATCGGGGTTTTTTGTGGGGGCCACGGTGTTTCCCCCGGCCGTCTGGCTCGCGAGCACCCTCGAAAAGACCCCCTCGAGAGCTTTGAGGACGTCGGGGTGCTGCATGGCCGCAGCAAAGGTAGGGACTGGTGGAGCAGGGACTTGAGTTCACTGCTGAGTGCGGCGGGAGGTCTCTCCACCGTTGCGCCGGCGGGATTAGGCGCCGGACTGCTGGGTGGACTCGTTGTGACAAGATGAAGCCATTTTTGGGAGTTTTGAGGTGGAAAAGAGGTTAGAAAAGGAACAAATTCAGTGTGGAGTCCCACAAGATCGAATCGTTGACACCAAATAACTTATGGTGCCCTCCTTCTAGCGCCAAACTGTTGATGGATGGTTCCGATCAACGGTTAAAGAAACAAGTAACAAAAATATGGAGTGAGAAAATAGCGAGGAGATACGAGCTAATTACGATTTTGTTAATAGATCACTGGGTCGGCCTCTCGTACGAGGCCGGTACTTGTGATATCCTTACAGTTCTTACAAGGGTTAATTACAAGTTTATAGAGAGAAAGTAGAGGGAGAGCTTTGTAAGTTGAGATTTCAAGAACCCAAAATAAATAAAGTGGGCTCCTATTTATAGTGCTCTTAAATGTGGCACTGTTCAGGTACTGTTCATCAGTATTATCGCACAGTGTTCTTGCAGGGCAGTCCGGCGCCTCCCTGACAGATATTAATGTGATATGAGGTTCTCTTAATCATTACCTGTCATGCATTTAATGCACACATGGGGGTCATTTAATGCTGACAGGCTTTATGTCTTGGCTAACTACCATAGAATGGCAGGCTACGGCGTCCTGTCTAATCACCAATGATTACCCTCCAAGTGGTATTATTATATCACAATCGAGCTCCGGGCTTACCCCGGGAGTAACCGCCTTGAAGTTTCAGGTTGGCTCCCGAGCTCATTCTACTCTTCCGGCCTTATGGGTCCTTGCTTCAGACCACTACCTTTTAGAGGTCGGCACCAGCGCTCGAACGATACAAACGCCGAACTCGGGAACAAACCCACCTAGATGCGACGGTCGGTTTAGCTCGGGATTCAGCTCGACACTTGCACACCCGACCGAGTTATTGGTTCGGCTTTTGGAGTCGCCTTTCGTCCGGTTTCTTTTTGGGGCGAACTCGGATGTCAACAATATGATTACACAATATCAAAAATTAACCAAAACTAAAATTTTCGGTTTAAAATTTTATATTTAGGTTCGATTATTATTTTTCTACTTTTAAAAACTCAGTTATTTTGATTTTAACGTCACCTTTATTTTTTTTAAATAACTAAAATAATCGAACTCTATGAAAAATATTATTATTTTTATTATCTATATATTTTTATGTATTGTGAGTCCACTTTATTTGTTGTAATTGTGCATTTATTTGTTGTTATTGTGCAATTAGTATTCGTTATAAATTATGTATATAAGGCATGAAATAAAGTGTATATATTTAAAAAAAATTATAATTGCATATAAGTCCTTTCACGATATCCAATTCACAAAATTTAGCCCCATCCCTAATTCATTCCCAATCGACACCTCTCTCGACATCTGATTCAAATTCAGCCGTCAGTCAGCCTCGTCGGACCACCGTGCAGATGCTCGTTGTTGCATTGTCGACCAAATTCTGACGCCTTATCCGGCGGCGACCTCGCAAACTCCCTCAACTAGAAGTTCTGGTCGGTCCGCCGATAGAGTAAGCACCCGCTCGCCAGCTCCACAACCGAAAAATTTGCCCTAAAAAATCAGATTACCACCGTATTTGAAGGTCGTGAGGTTCTTTACCCTTCAGATGTTGCTCGGGATCTTGCCGATGAACCACCCGCCAGATCCAATACCGGTGCTCGATTTTCTACGGGATACTGCCTTCAAGCGAGATGCTACAGTGACAGCGGCGGAGATATGGTGGAGAGATAGCAGAGGTCGGCAATGGCGAGTTTTGTGGTGCACCGTCAGCGGGTCTATGGTGGCGGTGGTGGAGTTGGTTGAGGGATGGCAGTGGCGGCAAACTGTGGCGACGGTATTGACGTAATCGACGAGGCTGTTGGCGGTCGACGGCGCAAGGCAGAGGGGGACTGTTGGTGGAGGTGGCGGCTGCCGTCGGTCGCCGGGGAGGGTCATGTTGGTCGGTTCATTTCTCGCGACTGTGTGTTTGTGTAAATTGTGTGTGTATGTGTGTGGAATGTGTGCGTGAGTGACGATGTTTGTGTGTGTGTGTGTGTATGTTTTAGTGTGTGAGAGATATGTGGTGGGGTCCACAAGTGAGTTGTAATTTTTGTGATGACTGTTATACCCTTAATTTGTGGTCAATTACACATATTTGACCCCAAAATTTCCAAGTATTTACCATAATGCCATCATAAGTTTGACTGACATTATTAAAGTTTGACTTGATCATGTCTATTAGCTTGATGGATTCAATGATCCAGATTCATTCTTATTTCTTTCATTATCTCTTATTCTTATTGGATCCTAACCCTATATATATATATATAGAGATGGGATCATATGAGAATGGTAGATAGTGAAAGAAATAAGAATAAATCTGGATCATGGGATCAATCATATAAATGGTTATGATTAAGTCAATTTTTTTAATAATAGTCAAACATGTTGTGGAAATATGGTAAATAAATGAACATGTTGGGGTCAAATATATACATTATACGATTAAGTAAGGTCAAAATAGACATTACACATTCTCCAATCATCTACCCACCCGTGAACCCACCCAACCCCCCAACCCATCACTCTCTCTCACACACAAACACACATTCCCTATCTCTTCCATCACTCACGCACACACACCAGCACACACAAAAACACACACACACACACACACACAATATACACACACAGCTACGCCCGTCGCCACCACACCCACCCACCTACAGAAGCCGTCAGCTGCCACCATCTGCCTCCCACGGCAACGAACCTCGCCGCCCACCGACGAAACTCCGGCAGTCGGGTATTCTCCTCCGACGAGCATCCACAGCCGGAAGTTCTCCGCCCACCACCACTACAAAACACTCCATGCCAGCGCCACTGTCAGCGACCACCATCATCGTCGCCTTAACAGACGGTTGCCGCCCACCCCATCTCTCACACACTAACACACATCGTACACACACATTTGACGGAACACACAAACCACTGATGCACCACCTCCACCTCCGACCACTGCCATCGGCACACCGGTCGGTTCTGTCACCCCGGCAACCAACCACCAGCAGCCCCACCACCGATAGCCCTATCACCAACCTCCACCAGCCTAGCCACTAACCACCAACAGCCCCGCTAACAACCACCACCAGATCGCCCCCAACCACCACCAATCCATCCCCCAACCACCACCAGTCCCGCCACCGACTCTAAACACCACTAGCCCTATCATCGACACCAACCATCACCAACTATGCCACAGCCGAGAACAGCCATGCCGCTGCACAACCACATCGCCACCGTCTGCAATTATCTCCGCCAACATCTAGTCGCTCCGCCTCTCCATCCAACACCAACATCTCCGTCAACTTTCGTCGTCGTCCGCGCCGTACATATCCTCTCTGTGTGTGGCCATCGGTTTCAGATGTCAAAATTCCGACCGACACGGTCCGCCGGTGGAATCGAACACCTCCGGTAGAGAGAGAGAAGCGACAGATGAATCGAACACCTCCGGTTGAGTGGAATAAAATGTCCATCCGCCACACTGACCATTTTCCGGCGGCGATTTGAAGGGAGAGAGAAGCGACAGATGGATTTATTTTTTCCTGTTCACAAATCGATTTTGGGTGATGATGTTGATTTGGGGATCTTAGTTTATCAATTGTCATTTTTTAAAATACTTTAATTATAATATACATAAATTAGTGGTTTAATTTTTAGTTTGGTTGGTTTTGATCGTTACAGTGCAGTATGTCACTCACTAAGGTGCAATACATTCAATACTAATGTGCACTCGAAATAGATTTTTTTTTAATTATTTGTCACAATCCAGAGTAAGACTAAAATAATTATTTTATTTGACATAATTGATTGATTTATTTAGTTCAATTAATCGAATTATCCTAAATAATCTTAATAATTTGTAATTTATATTACAATTATATTTAATATGTCTATAATTTTATTTATTATTCTTATATTATTTTTGGTTGAAAAATTTCGAGTTCGGTCAGTTTCGATCTCTATTGTGCAATATGTTATTCGTGATAAAGTGCAACTTATTGTTTTGTAAAGTGCAATATACTGTTTTATAAAGTGCAACGTGATGATGTATAAAATTTAACTACTATAATTTTCATATGTTATCATAATTGTGTTTTGTGTGGATAAATGATGTGATTGATTTTAAAATATGTTGTATATCTATTTTTTAGATTTACGTTGTGCGGTATTTTGGTGGGAGCTGTTAACGTTATTTGTCGATTGTAGTGATAAAGTGCAACGTGTTGTTTTATAATGTGCAACGTGTTGTTTTATAAAGTGCATCGTGCTGATATATAAAGTGCAGTACTTTATATGATCACATATAAATTATGTATTCTTGAAAACTATATTTTAATAGATATAATTGTACATCCAATTAACTTAAATAATAATTTATTATAAAAATATATTTATTATTATTAATTTTTTTATGTGCAAATTCAACATGAAATCAAACTGAAATATTTGAGTTATTTAGTTGGTTAATCACATTTACCTAAATAATCAAAGTTTTATTATTTACATTAAGTTAATATGTCTATGCAATATTTTATATTATTTTTTTCTGCTAATTCAACTTGAGACTGAACCGAAATAATTGAGTTATTTTGTTGGTTAATTAAATAACCTAGAAAATCAACACTAATTTATTATTTATATTATAAATACATAAAATGTATATAAATATATATATTTATAAGAAAATAAGTTTTTTTTTTATATAGTTCGATCGGTTTAGTTATATTAAACAATAAAGTCGACATCACATCAAGATAACCAAAATTTTAAAAGTAAACACAAATAATCGAAGCAAAACATACTATTCGAACCCAAAACTTTTTGTGTCCGTTTCAACCGTTATAATGCAATCTGATAGTCACTAATGTGCAATCCGTGTAACATTAATGTGAACTCGAACCGTAGTTATATGTATAAAAATAAATTTAGTATTTTAATATTTTATGTAATATTTTGTATTATTTGTAGTTGAAAAAAATATGATATATAGATATGTATAAAAGTATAAAAAATATATATAAAAATAATACCTTTTATATATTTTATATAAATTACAATTTTGATCATAGGCTAAATCGAACTATGTCAAAACTCTTGAAATTTTAGTTAAACTATGAATTTGACCCTAAGAACTAAATTGTAATTTAAATAAAATTATTGATATTGCAATTTAAACCCTTGGTACTTATCAGATTCTAAATGAAAATCCCAAATCTGCTCGATACTCCGTCTCTTCCCAAAATCTTCGCTAGCCACCGCCTGACTCTTCTCAGAAAATTGTTCATTTTGTATTCATCTAATTTTTGCCGTTATCTTTCTGTTCTCGCCGGAATTATCCGAGGTCAACGGCGGCGTCGGTGAGTTTCTCCGTGGGCGGCCGAATTTCGGCCTCCAGAGGTAGAGGGCGGCATTGATTGGAGCAGTAACCGGAATTTTGGAGACGGCGGGCGGAGGAGTAGATGCGGTTTCCGGTGGCGGCTTTGATTGGAGAGGGTAAGGGACAAGATGCGATTTTCTGGCGGGCGGAGTGGCCCCTGACGAGCGCCATGTGCGGCGATGGAGTTGCGGCCGCCGGAGAAGTCGGGGAATGGCGGAGCCGGGTTGGGTTGGACGGCGGTCAACGGTGTTGGATGGTACTATGTGTATTTGTGTTTGTGTGTGCGGGGAGAGAGGCGGAGTTGGTGGAGGTTCGCCTGGCACTTCAGTCGTTCTCGTCGCGGAGGGTGGCGGAGGTGGTCGGCGGAACAGTGAAGACGGCGATTGTCGGTGGTTGGATGAGTGCGGCGGCGGTAGGTGGTGGCCGGCGGAGGGGACGGGCCGTGCCTTTGTGTGTGTACAGTGTATGTATAAATCGTGTGTGTATGTGTGCGGGTTGTGTGTTTGTGTGTGTGCGCCGGTCGCCGATGTAGTGTGTGTGAGTGTATGTGTGTGCACAGGTCGTCGGTGTAGTGTGTGTGAGTGTGTGCGCAGGGTAGTATGTGTGAGTGTGTGAGAGAAAGATGGAAAATGTGGGGCGTCACGTGTGTGCGTGTGCTTGTGAGAGAGCTGGTAGGTGTGTACAGTGGGGCCTGGTAGTTGACAAAATGTCTAAAATATCCTTAATTAAGATATGATATTGGCTTTTTATTTAATCATTAGATCGGACCGATCTAATGGCTCCGATTAATTCTTATTTGTCTCGTTTAGAACCATTCTCACCGGAACGCGACCCTATATATATATATATATAGAGTTGGGATCATATGAGAATGGTGCTTAGTGAAAGAAATGAGAATAAATATGGACCATGAGATCAATCATATCAATGGGTATGATGAAGTCAAACTATGGTCAATCATTAATGGCATTCTAGTAATTATTTGATTAGCATGGTCAAATATGTGCATTTATCCAATAATTAAGAGTAAGTTGGTCAATACACATATATTCTGTGGGACCTACTCACCAATTAATAATATGTTTTCTCTTTATCACCCTCTCTCTTTATTTTCACGCAATTCACTTTCTCACACACACACACACACACAATTCCGGCCGCCACCGATACACCACACCCCAGCCACCGAAATTCCTCTGCCGCGACCAGTCCACCTTGCTTCCCTCGACTGAGCCATCTCGCCTTCACCTTCCCCGCCTGCAGAATTCCTTCGCCGTTGCCAGTCATCTGCCTCCACTCGACTGAGCAATCGTGACTCCAACAATCCAACGCCATCACTCGTCGGACCACTAGGCCGAACCCGGCGGAGCTCGAGCTTAATTATTCCCTCCTTCTCCGACACGGGCATCGCACCGACCACCCGCTGCCGACGGAGCATATTCGGCCGGTGACATACACCTCAACGGCGAACTGTTCTTCTCCGAATTTCGTTGCCGACGTTTTGCTGGAAGCTATTGATTTTAGATTGGTGAAATTTGATTTGTGGTTTTGGTTGCAGATTGTGATACTTGATTTCTGGTGTTGTCATTGTAAATTAGATTAAGATTAGGGCTTGTTTTGGAAATTTAATAAAGGCAGGGATCTAATCGCAATTTTTCATAAATTTTAATATATTACAATTTAGTTAATGGGTCAAATTTTTAATTAATTAAATATAATTAGTAATTTAACATTTTTATAATTTTACATAAATAAATAATTAATGCATTTGCATAAAAAATATAAATGAATAAATTATAATATTTTTAATATAGTTCAGGTTATTTAAATAGAAAAAAAAATCAATACATTGAATTGAAATAGCCGATTTTTTTCTTAAATATTAAAAAAAAAAAAAATTAAACCAAAATATGAAATTTTGAACCAAAAATTTTTAGTTTGGTCGAGTTAGTTAGATATTGTGCAATACGATGATCATTAGTATTCAATTATTATAACTGTAATGTGCATCCGCAATGTATAAAAAATATATAAAAAGTCATAGTATTGTTGAGGCTGCTGATGCTGTTTTTGTTATTATTTAGTTTCTGTTTTTTAGTTTCTCTTTGTTGGTGGTAATGTCATCTAGCTAGGCCTTATGGCAGTGGAGAGATACATTACCCTTTGCTGTTCTTTCTCTTTTTGCTTATTTGTTGGTGAGGTTCTAGGTACTCTGTGTAGTACCTCTCAGTTTCAGTTTGGTCGTTTGTTGTATATCGCCTGTAAACTCTTTGTGATTATTAATATCATCTCTATCGTTCTGGCAAAAAAAAAAAATAATTTTAATATAGTTCGGACAGCTCAGTTATTTAAAAATAAAATTAAAGCCAACATCAAAATGAATTAAATATCATTTTAAAAGTAAAAATTAGTTAATCAAACCGAAATATAAAATTTTTAGCCGAGAAATTTAGTTCGGTCGATTTGAGATTCTAAAGTGCAACCGGTTACTCGTTAATGTGCAATTTGGTAGTCATTAATATGCAATCCGTATAACATTATTGTGCACTATTAGTGTATTCGTTTTTTTATGTTTTGCCCAAACAATACTAATCCGAACAAAACAAATGATTTATTTGACCGATTAACCGAATTAACATAACTAATCAAAAAAATTATAGTTTATATTATAAAAAATATATTTAATATTTTTTTCTAATATTTTTGTTGTAAAGTCATAAAATATATAAATAACAAAATAATTTTTTTTATAGTTCGATCGATTAGGTTATTTAAGAAAATAAATAAATATATATTGTCATCAAACCGAAATAACAAAAAACAAATTAAAAGTGAAAAATACAATCGAACCAAAATATAAAATTTTGATACAAAAACTTAGTCGGTGGGTCTTGGTCGCTATTGTGCAACCTGACAAGTACTAATGTGCAATATGTCTAAAACTAATGTGCAATCGAAATTAAGTTATTTTTTTACTGATTTGTCGTAACCCAAACTAAGAACAAAATAACCAGTTTATTTGATCAAGTAATCGAATTAATCTAAAAAGTCGAAATAATTTGCTATTTATATTATTAGAAATATATTTAGCATTTTTATGATTTTGTTTAATAATTTATATTATTTGTTGTGTAAAAGACAATGTATATATAAAAATGTAATATTTTTTTATAGTTTAGCGGATTTGTTAGTTCGGTTGTTTAAAACATAATCAAATTTGCAAAAGTAAAAAACATACTAAATAGCGTGTCAGTGTACTTTTAATTTTTTCACGAGGTATCATTTGTGTTATGATAATGTGCACTATTTAAATCATTAATGTGCATTCGGTGTATCAATATTGTGCAGTCTGCAACAATGTAATTTTTTAATATACATTTACGCAACTTACATATTGAAATTTTTGAGTATTGTGCATTTTTTTTAATTATCATCAATTTCCATTTATGAAAATTTTGGTATAAATTATATAATTGTCCATGAAGTAACTGAAAACAATAAATATTGATAAAATTGCGAATAGGCCCTTGAACAATATCTAATTTTGAAAAAAAAAATCAATTTCACCCTAAATCCTTAAATCCAACTTGCAGGCCATTACATAATTTGCAGAGGTCATCTCCGGCCAGGAAATCACCGGCTCCACTGCGACTGAGATGCCAGACATGAAAGGATCTCGGACGGCGTCGGATAGGACGACGAATCTGGGCGGATTTCGTCCGACTTTTAAACTGACGTGCTCGTCGCGGACAACAGCGGAGATGGTCGGCGGGACAATGGAGGCGGCGATTTCCGGTGGTTGGATGGTTGCGGCGGCTACCGGCGTGCGACAGAGCTTCGTGGTGGAGGAGACGTCGGAGATGGCAACGGCGGCGATTCTGAGCTCAACACTTCAAGCTGCGAGGCGGCACCTGGCGGATTTGCAGCGGCGGACATCGGTTAGGCGCAGTGCCGGCGGGAGTCGGAGCGGCGGCAAAGACGAGAATTTCGGCTGAGATATTTTGGTGCGTGTTATTTGTGTGTGTGTGGGTTGTGTGATTGACGGGAGGGTGTGTTTGACTGGTTCTGTGCGAGAAGAACAAGCGAGAGTGGTGAGTTGTAAGGTGGGCCCCACTTTCAATGTGAATGGAATATGTAACATCGGATATACCCTTACTGGTACATAATTTGTGACTTTTTTTCTACCGTTGGATCTTCGGATCTAATGGCTAGGATGTATTCTTATTTCTTTCACTAAGCACCATTCTCACCGGAGCGTGACCCTATATATATATATATATATATAGGGATTGGTTCCAATGCATCTCAATATAATATATATATTGTATGAAAAAATAAAACGGAACAAGCAGGACGGTTCGGGACAAAAATATTCAAAACCGATACCGACATTGTTTAAAACGGTTCGGTACCGGGAACGGGACAAAAATAAAGGAAACCTTTCGGAACCTTATTTTTCGGAACGGGACCATTTCGGCCCGGTTTGATACAGGAAAATTCGGTTTTTTTTTTCCACCCCTAGGTATAAGAATGATTGACTAATATTATTTAATTATATGGATAATATTGAGTATAACAGGGTGATTAAAGTGTAGTTGAATTTGAGTTTTGATTGAATTTTTTTTATTGTATCTATATATATATAATTGCTGGCTAATAGCATTTAATAAAACATTTAATAAAAATCATTTCGATTTTCCTCCAAAAATCGTTACAAACTTTATCATTTATATCTCTCTCTATATTTAATTAACAACAATAAATTTAACAATATTAATTATTGTTTACCATCTTTTTATGTTACAATCTTCTATTATTATTATTAATCCATCATATCTAGTTAATGCTAAAATATTTCATTGCACTTTTTTATGGTTAATTAAAACAAAACCGTTACATTTTATATTAATAGAGTAATAATTATATTATTTTATTATATCATGTAATAGTTGTTATTAAAACTACTAACTATAGTTTACACTAAATGATATATGAAAATTACATAAACATAAAAAAATATTGTAATATGTTTGTCCCATTTCTGTTGCATTTTTTCTTGTTATTTTTCCTTTCTTTTGCTCCCATATTAGGTCTTTTAGTTAGTTTTTATCTCGTTTTGTAGTTTATCGCGTGTTTTACTCTATCTTGGTTTTTCTTGTGTTTTCCGTATATTTTTCCGATTTTTCTTTGTTTATAGTGTGTAGGTCGAAAGCTTCGGGAAGATTGAATTTTTGGCGAAAGTCAGTCGGGCAAGCGTAAGTAGATAAAAGAGTTCGTCGGCGTCACACAGGAAAAACGAAACTCAATTCCGAGTTCAGACGAATCCGAACGGGGCCGAAAGGTAGAGTTCAGCAAGCTGCCGACTGTTTGAAGGTTGGAAAACTCTAGAGGATTGTACTATTGGCAAAATCTGGTCATGAAAGCATAATTGAATAGAGGGGTTCGTTAACGACGCGTAGGAAAAAACGAAACTCAATTCCGAGTTCGGACGAGCCCAAACAAGCCCGAGACGTGAAGAAGTGCGAGCTGCCCAGGCCCCGCGCCGCGACACCAGCCCTCGCCGCGCCGCGGCAGCACCGCGACCGGAACTGCGACCCCTGCTCCTGCTCTCGCGCCCATGAAGACCTGCCGCGCCTTCCTCACATGGCCAACTTTTCTTATAAATATGTGTATACGGGAACTCTTTTTATTCAATTCTCCCCTTCTGGGAGACGAACCCTAGGCCCGTAAAAACACCACAAAACTCCTTTCTTCTCCTCTCCTTCTTCTTCTTCGTTTTTCTTCTTCTCTTCAGAATTCTCTT